CAAGAAACAGCCGGCTGAGTTCAATGAGCGGCCAGGCAATGCTTTTTCATTTGAAATGGAAGTGCCTGACTGGCTGATGCATGCGCTTGGAGCGGACCCGAAGTCAGGCAGCGGCATCCTTTTGGTTTGTGAATTTGGATGGTTTCTTTTTCTTTGGATTGTTTCTTTAATGAATAACATATATAGTTCTTTTCGAATTCAAACCAACCTCAGGTGGCGATGTGAATAACAGCGTCCTGGACTTCAGCTTGGATTTGCACATCCTTGCAGGTGCTATCTTTGGATCTGCTCTCTTCTATGTGGGCCTTTTCTCATGAATGAAGGTGAGGAACTATTTCCCGTTCCGCTGGCCCTGAACAGATCTGAAATTTTCATTGGGTTGGCATGAGGGCCCTTTATGGGCTTTGACACAGGCTACTAGAGGCAGTGCTACAAACGATATTTAGCCAAGATGGCTGTCTCCTTTAGCTAGAAAGATTGAGTTCCTTTGATTGAAGCACGCTTCTACAGCTGGGACATAGCCAGGGTCTTATTTGAACACCCGCCGTTTCAAAGGCTTGTTTCAGGCTGCCATACAGTCGCAGCTTACACAACAACATCAAGGAAAAGTGCCAAAATGGGGCTCAAGTGAAACGCGCCAATTGCGTTTCGGCTTATGCCCATCTGGCAATGTGCCTATTGCTTGAGCCCTAGACATGGCTCCAACATATATTGTTTTCAAGAGACTTGATCACGCCAATGCCGTTGAGCCGCCCGAAGCACTGGGCTTAAGAGAATGAGGTCCCCCTGGTTGCATGATGTGGGGAGCTGGATGAGAAGGATTCTGTCTTCAAGACAGACTGCGAAGGGTCATTGCAAGAGTTGAGCCAGCCTGATGAGCTTCATTCCTCCATCTTTTGACCATTTTAGATTTGGCAAGAGTGGAGCCCTTGAACCCTTCTCGATTTTCTGACGCAGTGTTTGGGGGGGTCCAAGTGCTTGGAGAGACCTGATGATTGAAGGACGTAAGCAAAGGAAAGCTTGATAGGAAGCCGCGCAGCGGTGCCACGCGCAGCGGTGCCATGGAAATTCACAAGCCAGATGCACACCGCTTGGGACCCAGACATCAGCTGGTGATGTAGAATTCTGTGGTCTTGTGATTTTTTCAACGAGCTTTTTTGGTTGAAGCCAGCTTCAAGGTCGAGAGTACGCGTACTTCGAGCTGCCCAACCAACTCAAGGTGGGGCACAAGAAATGTGAAAAAGACCCACTTTGAAGACCCTGCACTACAGGGAAGCTGCCTGCTTACCTGCACGGTTTCCGTATTTTCCCACCAAAATTAACATGAACTGCACCACTTCTGGGATCAGGATCGAGACAAAACAGTTCGCCCTCTTAGTGGGTGTCTTGGCACCTTCGCCTCTCATCTCAGCAGTTTCAACCTCACCCGACCACGAGATCCTGTCGTTGACTTTCCTGTCGATCCGAAGGTTTTCCAGGTCGATCACACATCGCTCTCCAGTCATCGGTCCTGTTGGCTGCTTCGATTTTTTGTTCTTTCTTAAGTCATGATTCCATTTGGGTGCTTCTTCTCACTGAACGAGCTTGGTGGTTGCCATCGGGGGGGGTGGTGGAGCCAACCACTTCGTCACACGAGCGTGTTCGACATACCAAACGGTCTGGTCACGAAACGTGGGTCGAACCGTCCCAGACCGTCTCCTGGAACTGTCTCCCAGGTGGTTGTTGGATCAGATCCTCACTGTGACAAGGCTGGCGCAGCCCTAACGGTGAATACCGGCCTTTGCGATGAGAGCACCTGAGCAGAAGGACCCGAGAGGAACCATTTGCGGGGGCCAAGAAGAAGTGAGATCGTCTCGGAACATCTGGGAACCATGTTTTTCACTTGTTTTTTGAGGATTCTTTTGGATTCCCAGAGGCAGAGCCGGGACAGAAAATTTCTGTGAAGGGTGTTCGCTTGGTGGCTGGACTGGACGTGCTTCCAATCGAGACTCCACGGGACCCCCGGTCCGTGGCAAACCCGGTCCGTTGGGAGGGGGCCTGTTCGGCGTCCGTCGGTTTGGGGCTCCACTTCAGTCAGAGATGGCGAACCGACGATTGATTCGACTCCGCATATTGACGTAGAAACACGTCAACAGTCTACATGACTACATGATGAACCAAGCGCTCTTTCGCCTCTGCTCCGCTTCTCGAAGAGCTCTCAGTTGGTGGTCATGTCTAGTTGAGGTTGCTGAGGTAGGAACTCCGCAACTGGCAGGCCTGGTTTTCTGTAGATCATGCCAAGGTCAGCAGTGAAGGTCAGATAGACGAGGGGTTGATGATAAGAACCAGGATCATGAATTTTTGTGGGGAAGATTTAGCAGGCGTCTATGCATCCTTATGCTCATCCAGCAGTGTTTACATGACAGAAACAAAAGGGGCAGCCTCTCTGGAACAAGAATAGAATGACGCGAGCCATTTTCCTCATGAGCGATGTTTCTGATTTTTGTGCTTTCGCGCTGAGGAAAGGACTTGCCTGGCTTGGCGCATTTCCTGGAGCATATGCTCTTCACTGGAACCAAGAAATACCCAAAAGAAGGACAGCCTCCTCTGGATTACTTAGCTGCGATGTCCGGGCAATGATCTCCAATTTCAACTGATGGGAAGCATGCCACTTGAAACCAGGAAGGGTTTGTGTTGTTAAGTCTCTTCTCTCCACTTCATGTCGTAAACCTCCGAACAAGGTCGTCGGCACAGTTCGGGGATCCCTGCGAAGGCTCTCCAAAGGGTTACAGTTTTGTGGCTTCCCCAAAGAGATTGAAGCCTCACCTCGTCCTCTGTCTCGACCCGCTGCGCCAGCCGCTTCATTCTGCTGCTTCGGTAGCCGTGTTTTCCTTTTGGTCTTGGTGAGGAGAGTATAGTGAGTTCGTGAAGCAGAACGGTGGAACGACCAATGCGAGCCCTGGGCGGAAATCGGAGATGGGATGGTAAAGATGGTGAAGAGGGTTCTTCACAGCGGCAACCAGACATTCACAGCCCTAGCGGAGTCGGGAGATCTTGATCTAAGGAAAGAAGCCTCTTCGTTCAAGTGCTTTGTACACTTTGAGGGGTGAGTTTTCACTTTCCGCACCATTGAACACCCTGGGGCCAGTTCACTGTGGTTTCGCTTGACGATGACTTCCCGGAAGCCATTTCGGAATTCCGACGTGGCCATGCCATCAGCGGTTTCAGGCTGACGGTTTCCAATGATCCCAGAACAGCAGGTTTTTCAGCCGGAAAACAACGGCTTTTGGGTGGTTTCTTCAGTGATGATCCAAGGGTTCGCAGGACCAACTCATGCAAAAGGAGGGTTTGTCGCAACATTTTCATCATTGGAGAAGTGTGGTCTTCAGCTTTATTCTCTATCAAAGACGTCGACATTGATGTTGAATCAGACTTTTGATGGGAAAGGGTTCTAAGAGCCGTTTTCGCGTTGCTTGCGTTGGTATGACCTGCTTGAAGGGAACAGTCCGCAGTTGCTCTTGTGCCTTTTCCAGGAACACGGGCTGCTATACCACCAACTACATGTGCCATGCCTGACAGGGTTGGGTACAGTCTTTGAGCTGTGTCAGCTGCGTTGCACTCTGTCTGACAACGGCTGAATTCGCATCATTCGCTGATAGGATACCCCTTCAAGAAGGCCCCAGGCTAAAGGTTTGTAGTTGAGGGAATCAACGTTATCACGTGTTCAACCTGACAGGTGCCAGGATTTCAAGGTAAAGAATCCATGGGTCCCCTACGGGTTTTTTTGCTGTTTGCGCACATCTGAGCAATGCATGCACACTCTCGTGCGCACCCGTGTCCCTCTTAAGGGTTCAAACCATCCTTGAGTAGCTTCGCAACAACGCCCTGCCAGACAATCCCCCGAGATGGGTTTTTGTTGTCCAAGGCCTTCGCAACAACGCCTGAATCTTTGTCTTTTGAGAACATCCTTGGAGCACATCCAAGTCTTGTCTGCCAGACAGTCCTTTGAGATCCCCACCGAGTCTTTTTGTCCACCTAGACATGTGAGACGATGACCCGAGACATGTCGTTTTCCATGCGATGCCGACATGCGTGTGTTTATCCACGAAAACGGAGATTGGCTCGGGATGTGACACATGGCTCGGGATGTGACACATGGTGAAACAGCAGGTGGATAGCAAGAGATCAACAACTTTTGCAGTGTTTTTTTCTCTTGGGTGAACTGTTCGCGAATTTTTGAACCATCATGCAAGGTACTTCTCACTTAATCAGGCTGTTGACCTTGGCTTTGTGCGGCGAAGACGACGGACTTCCCTCCCTTGGCCCTTTGCGAAAGGCGAGGCTTCGCCGCTGTTCGGCACCTCCCCAATCCGAACCCGCACGCTGTTCGTGGACTCGGTTCGCTCCAAGGTTTCAGGTGAAAGTCGAAGCCTTGGAGGAGACCTTGGACCGCTTCGCTCGCTTCTTCTCGGAGCCGCTGCTCACCAAGGCCGGAGTGGGTCGTGGGTGTGAGAGTGGAGGAGTGGAGCGAACGTGGGAAGAAGGAGTGTTTTTGGTTGTCAGGGCTGGGGTGATATATGGTGATATACTATAGGCATGGCACTAATGTAGACTAATGATCAGTAAAGGCCCCTAGATGAAGTGGAGCACTGCTGTGGAGCGGGCAAGATGAAGTTCTTGTGCAGGATTTTCCAAAAGGATCGTTCCATATGCAACAAATGTGGCCTACATGTCTCTGTAAAAAAGACGTGTCCGTTGACGAACGTTTCTTTGTTTGCGCTTGAACGTCGTGAAGACGGGTCTGTTGCCGGAAAAATGGTCTTGGGGTTGAAAGAATTCATCCGTCACTGCTGGATGCGATGTTAAACAAACGAACGGTAAGAGCACCGTGCCACTGGGAGTCTTTCTTTTGCTGGAACGACCATATCGACATTGGGGCCGTCTTTCTTTGGTGGCTTTTCTTAGAGACGAGAGCCCTTTTGTTCCTGTTTTTGGAAATGCGTGGATGTCTGAATCTTCCATGTACTGGTTCTCGTCGCATCCAGACGGGATTCCCCTCTGGCCAGGACTGCACAGACAGGGAAATCAACGCAGTGGACTCCGAGTTTCAAGCAGGTGCGGTAGATGAACGGCACGGCTTGAGCTGGATTGGGGCATTGGCCTTCTTCTGGAATGTTTTCTTTTTGATCCACTCCCATCAACATTTGGTGATCTTGGGGGAGCAGCGGTGGTCGATCGTTTCTGCCTCATGTGTGGGGCGTGAAACTTCCGATCTTTCAACATCTGGGTGCTGTTCCTGATGATTTTCCAAGATCATTTGGTTCTTTAAAACTTATCGTTTGTGATAAGACTTATCGTTCCGCTTGGTTATTCCTGATAGTTCTTCAGATCCTGGGACGGTCCCAAATCCCGCTTGAAGCTGGGACATCTGACTCGGGTTGGGTGTTTTCAGTTCCCAGATTGGTGTTTTCCCTTCCCGTGGTGTTTCCTTTTCCCAGATTGGTGTTTTCGGTTCCCGTGGTGTTTCTGGTTCCCAGGTCTTGGTGTTTCCAGTTCCTGGATTGGTGTTTTCCTTGCCCAGCTCCTGTGTTGGTGTTTTTGGTTCCCAGGTTTGGGTGTTTTCAGTCCTGGACAATGTGTTCCCTGCCCGGCTCCTGTGTTGGTGTGCCCTTTCACGTGTTTGTTTGTCAGCTTTCGTTTGAATTTCTGGCTACCATTGCCCACCGCTGGATTTGAAAGCACGTACTCGTGTCACACAATTAAACAGACAAAGAACACCGCAAAACCATCAAAGCCATTCGCTGGAAAACATGTCAGTTTGCGTAAACCCACTGCCGCAAAAACACAAGGTACCCGGTGACACCATCATAACCGCGCACTGTACGAACACATAGACGAAAGCATACCGAAGAAGACGAGGCAGGTGGTACAAAGTTATCTATCATGTAGTGTATCGCTCCTACCATGCCATTACACCGCTGGTTTTGAAAGCACGTACTCGTGTCACACAATTAAACAGACAAAGAACACCGCACTGTACAAACACATAGACGCAAGCACACAGAGCTTCAGTTTTGGCCATGACGCGCTGGGAGAACCTCAGCGAAGAAGACGAGGCAGGTGGTACAAACTTATCTATCATGTAGTGTATCGCTCCTACCATGCCGTTACAATTTGGCATGTAACCTTGTACCAGGCCAACTGGTGCTGGACCGCCAAAGAATATTTGCGCCAGCACTGTGCCCTTACAGTGAAAACACCAGCCTGTAGCTTAATTGCAGCTGCTTCTGCTTACTTAGCTTTGCGCGGCTAAGTCTGAGCCGACCAGGTTGGATTCCTCCGCTTCGCTGTCGTTTGGCCCCCAGCTGCAGCAGTACTGTTTGGTTCTGCAGCACGTAGTTCGCTCTTGTCCGTGCTTACTGCTGTGCTGGCTGTTGCTGTTCCCGCTGTTCTTGCGGCCGCTGTTCCTGTCGCTGTCGCGGTTGTTTCTGTTGTTGTTGTTGTTGTTGTTGCTGTTGCTTCTGTTGCTGTTGCTGTTGCTGGATGCGGCTGCTGCTGTTGCTGCTGCTGGTGGTGGTGCTGCTGCTGCTGCTGCGGCGGTTCTTCTTTGCCGCCTGTCGTTGCTCATTCTGCCTTGTCAGGATGAGCCGGTGCGCGAAGAGGCTCGTGCGCCAAAAGCTTGCTCTAGACTCCTCTACTCCATTCAATGGCATGTTTGTCTGCAGAGTCTGCAATCGATGTTTTGCTACTCACACTGGCAGGAGAGGCGTCTGGAAGTGGCCTGGCCGTCTTCCAAGGTACCCGCGCAACAGCCCCTTCATGACCGTGTGGCGAATGTATCAAATGATCGCATGCCATGCAGCCAGTCCTTTGAAGAACCAGTCCTGTGTTGCTTTGAATCTTGTTCATCGCCAAATGTGACGAATTCTTTGCAGCGGTGTTGTGACTCGGTGTTTGTTTCTAGTTTGTGCGGAGGCCCCTGCGGTGCGTGCACCACGACGTCGCCCATGGAGGCCAAACTACCCAGAGAAAACTCAGTGCTCGACAGATGAGGCCGGTGCCCTGTTCCAGCTGTGCGGCCCTGTGCCTTTTTTCTTGGATCTGTGCAGGCTTTCGACTTTGACTTTGCGGATGCTGCAGAAGCTTGTACCTAAGGATTCACCGTTGACAGCCTTCAGTGGCCCATCCTTCCGCTATCCCAGGCCGTGTCTGGCCTGCACATCGAGCATTCCTGGTGCTGCGAGCTCGGTCTTTGTCTGTCTGACTGTCCTGGGCTGGGCTTCAGGACCATACGCGTGAAAGCATCAACTAAGATAACCGTAGGCCGCAGCCTCACGAGTTCAAGGTTGACACCTTGCTGCTGTTTCCAAGGTGACAGCTTCGCTGTATCCTTGGCGCGTCGGGTTCGCACACAGTACCGGCCGTGCGGAGGACCTCCTTTTGCAACTTTTCCTTTCACAGCTTGACAGCCAATGCTCTTTGTTCAACAGGCAATCAGACTGCTCCTGGACAAGGTCGAGCAGGTGCAGTGCTCCGTCACAGTCGCGTTCCAAGGTTAGTCTTTTTGCAGCTGTCCGTCTAAGGCGCGTTCTCCTTTGCCGGTCTTTTGCTCAGACATGACACTCGTATCTGCACAGGTGCCTGAATCCGTCCTGTTTGTTGTTCAGGTCCTGAATGTGTGCATCATGACTTGGTTGGAGGCGCTGGGGTCCATGCTCTGCTTCCATTTCGGTTTGGTTGCTTTTGTTGCAAGGCTGCACGCATCATGTCGGTGCGGATGCTGCCATGTCCCGGCCTCAGACCCGCGCACCACGTGCAGTTGGTGCTTCCTTTTTCAAAATTTCCCGAGGTTCCCCGACAATTGCTGTTTGGTTTGTCGGGCGGAAGGCAAGGCAGAGGGCGTCCAACGCGCTACCTTCCTTGTGCTTTCATGTCGTGTGGCCAGGATCGAAACAGGCGGGTCCATGCGCTCATGGGCAACACCACAGGTGGGGAGGGAGCCGGTAGTGCCAGCAGCCTCTTCTGTTTCCCTTGCTGTGAGGCCCATCCTACATGGACCTCTACGAACGACGCGTTGAGGTTCCTTTGCCAACAGTCCTGCGGCGCAGCAGCGCGTTTGGTATCCGTGGCCGGTTCCTGAACAAAGGCACAAGCTGTTGGCTTGGGAGCCTCTTGCAGGCTCTTTTTTCCAGCGCTGCTATGCAGTGTGCTCTGTTGCTACACCGTTGCCGGGCGGGGCTTCCCTGCGCTTTGTGTGCTTTGACCACCACAGAAGAAAACAGCCGCCGCATTGAACAGGTCTATTGCATTCAGTCTCTGTGGAAACCTTTGGTTGAAGATGCACAACTGTCATGGCGGGAGCAGCAGGATCCCTTGCAGTTCTTTCTGAAGCTGTGCGCATTGGCGCACACATTCTTTGCGCCCATGTTTGGAGCTTCTTTGGACACCACTGTTACACAAACCTTGCCGTGTCAGTGTGGCGTTGAGCTGCCGGAGCCCCACGTCTTCCCCCGTCAGCTGGAGTACATTGTGCCTTTGAAAGTGCCATGCAGTGCAGATGGGCCATTGAACATGGAAGCGCTCATGGGTATGATGCAAGAAGAAAGACCTGAGAATGCGATGAAATGTCCTATCTGCGACGCCCAAGCAGGCTTTCTTGCCAAGCACGCTTGGAGTTTTGGCCCCCTGGTGTTATTTCAACTGACTCGAAGCATCGGCAGCAAGACAGCAGTGGATTTGGAAGCAGAGCTCGACGTGCTTGGCCGTTGTTATGCTCTTCGAGCGTGTGTGTGTCACAGAGGCGAAACCAATTCTGGCCACTACCTTTGCTTCGTTCGGGAACCGTCCACGGGGCTTTGGATACGCTACAATGATGCTGAGGTGCCAGTTCGGTTGCCGCAACTTCCTGGATGCTTGCAGACCCATTGTGCGTTTGCCTTGTACGAAGAGAAGCTTAGTGACGAGCAGGTGGCAGCGTTCTGCATGTCCACTTTTCCAGTTCCAGATGATGTTGCTGAGGCGGGTCCCTGATTAACATGCTTTCCTACATTCAAGATGTCCAGTTGATGCTGCCCCCCAGGTCAGACTAGAACCCGATGCGGATGTTGCTGCAGCTTGGGAGGACATTTTGCTTTTGCTTTTTTTGTTTCCAGCTGCCATAGTTTTGTTGCTTGCGCCATGCTTCCATCTTGGTTCTCCACACAGGACATACGTTGCAAGCTTGGGCGTGGCGCCAGTGCCACACCTGTCACAGAGATTCTAGCCACGCAGCCGCTTGCTCAGCAGCCTCGCCTATGCACGGAAGAACAACTTAGAGCTGATGCGCACCTCCTTCTTGACGTTTGGCTTCAAGGAAATTCTGTCCAAGAGTTCTTGCAAAAACTGCCGCAGTATGTTCCAAGCGTTGCAATGGATACTTGCATAGCGAAATTTCGAAGCTCCGTGCAGACGCTCTTGCAGGAAAGAATCAGCAGCTCGGCAGCAATGCAAACTACTCCTTTGATTGCAGAGACAATTTGCTACCCTTTTGCAGTCATGCTTATGGCTGCCAGTATTGCTTCGGCCACGCCTATTGCTTTGCTCCTCGACACTGTTCTTGCAGTCGTGCACAGCCTGGTCAACAAGAACTTCCATTTGAATATGGGCCGGTGGGAGAACAAAAGCCGGTTCTGGTTCGTGGGCACTGCAGAAACTGGAGAAGGAAAGCGAGGCGCCATGAAGCCAGTCATACAGTGTGCGCACAACGTGCTTCGCAGCAATTCTGGATTGATGCATGGCACATCAGCTGATGACTTTCACATGCAGCAGTCCTGCACCACCGCTGCAGCCATTGACAAGCTACGTCACACCGATGGCTATCTGTTGCTGCACAGTGACGAAGCTGGTCAGTGCTTGGATTTAAGTTTCAGTGGCACGTCAGCTGGTGGCACAAAGAAAGGGGAGCACGTGGATCTCACAATGTTCCTGGACGCAGCGCGTGGAGATGAGTTCAGCCACACCACCATGCTTGACCGCAAGCGTGCCGCACGGCGTGAGCCCACCCACCGTTTGGATCCGGTGCAGGAGCCACCTCCGATGACGGTGTCCACAAACATGGAGGTGTCCTGGTTGCAGCAGGAGCTCTATTTCTTACAGTACTGGTGTTTGGCAGCTTTCACCAAACCCATTGGTTTGGTTCAGCGATGCTTGTTCAGTTTCGGCCGTGCCTTGCCAGCGCCCGAACCATCTTGGAACGCCTTCTGGCGGCAAGTTTTTTTGCCCTTTCTGGAGAGCATCTTTCAGTTCACACTAACGACATATGGTCCGAAAGCGCCAGAAGCTACGACCCAGCCCCTGTGCATCACGCCTGAGCAGGAACAACTCCTTTTTCAGATGGAAGAGCTCTTGAAAGTGCTTGGGTCAAGCCGCAAAATCCACCCCGTTGCCAAAGGCGCAATGCCGAAATGCTTGTATTGGCTGGGCACCATGATTAGAACCAATTTTCTTTTGGAACACAGCATGGATGCTTACCTCTCAAGCTCCATGCCTAACGCTCCTCGCCTTTTCACGGTCCAGAACAACAACTTCTTGACTGCGATCAACTTCCTCTCGCAGCGGTACCTCTTTGGCATGATGGTTGTTGCCACTTCTGTGGCCGAACGATCTTGGAGCACCATAGCAGAGGACCCTAAACATTCGCTGGACAAAACCACAGAGTACATATTGCAAGTGCTACGCACCATCCCTTTCCGTCACATTTCTCAGAAGGATGTCTTCCACGCGTGCCTTGATTTGGCCTGGCAGTGGCGACGCGGTCGCTCTGAAGAACATGCTGACGCTGAGTGCATGCTGGACAAGATTTTCTACACACTGCAGGCCACACGGTTGCAATCTGCTTTTTTCCTTCGGTTTCAACTGTCAGGTTTTGAAGTTCCAGTGCACTTGTTCATGTTGTTTTCTCGCCTTTGTCCCTGCTCCTGAGGACCGCAAGATAGGCAAGGTGAACGTCAACGATGGGTGCTCTACAAGCTTCACCAAAGAGGCGCTGAACGACATCCCGGCTGGGGCAATTGACTGGCTTCGAGAACATCGTGTGTCTTTGCTGATGTTCAGCACATGGGGTCTTGTGCCGTCCATCCCCGTGTCCACTGACTCTGTCTCCCAAGCCACAGTACCTCCGGACGATATGCCGTTGGCTCCTGCAGAAATTACTCCAGCTAGTGCTGGTGGTGCTTCGTCGGAAACCACGCCTCGTGCTGCCGGGAATGCGTTTGTTGAGCGCAGCGATTGGCGTCCTCTGAGCGTCGAACAACTTCCGTTGCCTTTGCTGCAGCACAAAGCTTTGCTGCAATGCCTGCGGGCTCGCCCTGAATGGGCGCAGCACCGTGTGGAGATCAAGTATCGCAAGCGGTCCCGTGGGCAAGACTTCTACGAAGTCGAATGCTTGGATGGGCTTGACTGCTGCAAGCGTTGGCGTGCATTTTACATTTTCAGTGCCCATGACATGCATCCACCAGGCACTTTGATTTTGCAGACGTGTGGTGAGCATTCCCATGAAACACGTCGAGCCACCAGCAAGCTATTCACATCGCAGCAGCTTTCCATTGCAGAAGGCTTTCTTGCAAGCGGTGGCCGGGACCTTCGAGGTTTACAACTTGCTTTCTCTACGGCGAACATTGCTTCAAACACTTTGCCCAACTCCACGCAACTTTCCAACTGGCTGAAGCGACAGAAGAAAAGCCAGAAGAATACTCTGTCAAGACATGCGACCCTGGTGGAAGTCACGCGCCTGGAGCTCACGGCTTTGCCGCGGTCCATGCCGGACACACTGTCGGCTTTGTTTTTACTTGATGAGCCGGTCCTGACCCAGGACGAAGTTTGCATCATTTTTTCTTGCCCGGGCATGGTTCGCCATTTTGAACGTTACCAAGATACTACATTGTGCTGCACTGTTGATGCGAAAATGAAAGTTGCCGAGCATGGGTATGGCGTTGCGACTTTCGGTCTCCTCACTCGCGACAAACTACGAAAAACCACTTTGTCGCGTGCTGCCCGCACGGACTCCACACCTGCTCGAACTCAAGGGTTCGCCTTTACAAGTCACACCGTGCCCGTCGTGCAAGCGATTTTCCATCAAGAAACGCACGGCAATTTCCAACGCTTATTCCGGGCCGTGGACAAGCTCTGGCAAAACAGTGCATCTCCACCCCGTCCATCGCTTGCAACTTTGCCATTCCAATTGCACAAAGATTTCAAAAAAGAGATTGAAACTGCCCGCGTCGATTGCTTCCCACACTCCCGTGCATGTGATGATTTCTTCCATTGGAGCCAAAAGCAGCATACGACTATGGCTGCAAAGTGCTGCAAACGGTCTTACGAAAGGGGAAATGGGTCAAGGAACATTTGGATTGGGCAGTTGCTGCGGTGCGACTTCTGCGCTTGCTTCCCACGTTGCGCTTGTTTTCCCCTTTGTGGGCTGCGTATCTTCGTCGACTTACCGAACATGGAGAGCATGACTTGGTCGCTTGGTTACGAACCTATGAAAGGCCGCTGCCTTTCGCTTTGGCGCAGCAGTACGCAAGTTCTTCGCCACCCCCAACTTATGTCAGCTTTTGGACTGGCTTCGAAGGCACTGTGGCTGGCAGTGGTGCAGGCAACCAACCTGCGGAGGCCTTGCACGCACCATGGCAGCGTGAACTTCAAGCTTTGGGAGGTAAGGGCAACATCAGCCACGTGCTAGGCGTGCCCGGCAAAAGGGTCGGAAGCGGAAAGCTGAACCGTGCCCCCGCCAACAACGGCGCCAGCACAAACGCGCCAAGCAGTAAGTGGAAGCTTGGTCTGCAGGGCTCCAACTTTTTTTTGCATGCTTTGCTGCACATGTTTACGTTCATTTCCCAAAGCCACTTGCCGTCACGCGTCACTTGCACATCACTGTGGTTAACAAGTTGCATTGTCGCCTTCTGCAGTCTCTCTCTACGGCTTGTCGGTTTCATGTGGTGAGCTTGCGCGCATCTGAGGCCAACGTCGACGCAGGTCGTGTGAGTGCTAGTTTCATGTCCGTGTGCGGCAGGACTTAGCTGTTGTGACGCTGGGGTTCAAAAAGATTTGCCCACTTCCTGCTTGGGCAACCATGCTGAAGCGTTGCTTCTTTTCCATTTGCTTGGACACCAATTTCATTCAGCCACACTGGCGCAACCTTGCCGCCAAGTTCCTATCGCTGTGGCGGTTGTTTCTGTTGTTGTTGTTGTTGTCGTTGTTGTTGTTGTTGTTGTTGTTGGTGGTGGTGGTGGTGGTGTTCTTGATGGTGTTGTTGTTGTTGTCGTCGATTTTCGCATGTTGTTTGTTGATCGTTGTTGGTCGTCGTTGTTGGTCCTCGTCGTCGGTGTTGTGGTTGTTGTTGTTGTGGTGGTCTTTGTTGCTGTTGTTGGTGGTGGTCGTGGTGGTGGTGGTGGTGGTCGTGGTGGTGGTGGTG